CATTCCTGCGTGCAATTTTTCCTGGTGAATTTCTAGCTTCTCAAATGGTAAAATATTGTACTAGTAGTTATAAACTAATACTTGTGATATCCTTTTTTCTTTTCTGTAATTTGAAGCATCCCACTTTATACTCTATGATATTTGCTAAATTTTTTAATAATACCTTCTTGTGAAAAATAAGAAGTTAACTTGTGTATTTGTTTTTCAGTTTCCATGTAGTCCTACTGCCAACCTTTTCCTGCAATGAACTTGGGCATCTGTCGTGTAATAGACCTTTATGCAAAATAATTTAATGCAGATGGCTTTAACTATAATGAAACCACATCTATTGATTTGATGTCCTAGCATTGGAACATGTTTTTGTTGCATACTATATGGTTTAAGTAAAAGTTATATGGAAATTAAACTACTGCCTTCAGCGACATATGTGACCATCGATAGTGATTGACATCTTCAAAATGATCAAGAGGCATCAGTTGTGATGCTTTCAAATGTTCCTCAAATTCTCATTTAGTTATATAAGAATAAATTTCCTTTACTTTGACCCATCAGGTAGTTAACATTCCTGATAAAGGAGCTCGGAAGCATCCTCGTGGTGATAGTATTCAGGTATTTTAGGCTTACAACTACCCTGATCATTTCTTCCTCCTCGTCATTTTGTATGCTTTTCTTTGATGCTATTAGATTTGTAAACAAAAGATGCCCTCAGGTTCGTAATATTTCCTGAGGAGTTAGGCCTCATGTCAGGCTTTTCCAGCAGTGCAAAGCACAAATATTGCTTGTATGGGGTGGGTTCATAAGCTGTGAATTCATGGTCCTATTATGAAATTAAAATCACATGAACATGCTGGCTCGCTAGTCATATTATATCTAGTTCACTAGATATACTAAGTATGCGAGAAAGTGGAAAATGATTTCATTTGACTGGCGTCCAACTTTTCTGTCCCCCAACATTTTTTGCTTGAGGTATGTCTTTGGCCGAGGTTTCCAAGGCTTTTGAGAGAACTGAAGTGCTTCTAATATTTTTAGTTTAAAAAAAAAGGACTGAATGTGGAATAGCTAATTACATTTCCGCAGGCATTGTTCAGTTTTGATAATACAATTTGTGCTCGAAGTCTGACTTTTAGACGTACTTTGTTTGAAAAATGTCAACATTAGTTTCTGGTGCATCTCATTACTTTGTTGTGATTCTTTGCAGATGGATACAAGAAATATCCTTTTCATATGTGGTGGGGCATTTGTTGGTTTGGAGAAAGCCATTTCAGAAAGGTAATGCACTCTCCCAGGGATTTATAATAGAAATTATTTGCATGAATGTTTCTACTTTGAAGGTAGTTTGAAAGGTTTAGGCATCTTCTTTTTCCAGGCTCCAAGATTCTTCCATTGGCTTCGGAGCACCAGTTCGTGCAAACATGAGGACCAGTAAATTGACTGATGCCATCTCGGCATCAGCATTGTTGGAATCTGTGAGAATAAAAACTCAATGTAGTCAAAGATATTGTATATTCCTTCATTGTTCTTGTCTTTTCCTTTTATCAATTTTTTGACTTGAGGCTTCCTTAACTTCTTTTCCTTTTCTATGACACAAAAACCCTAATTCTTTTGAATAATGAGTCCTTAAACTTAAATTTTCTAATGGACT